AAAAAAAAAAAGATTGATCATCAAGTTACTAGAAAATTTCAAAACCTTTTGCTGAAATGGAGGTACTCTGCATACTTCCATAGTTTATAATGATTAGTTCTGGGTATTCTTTCTCTCTTTATTCTTCCTTGCATAACATGATGCTTTGTGTTTTTAACTGACTGAATTCATAAATGGCAGTAATTTTATACTAACATTACAAATAAAACAGAGACCTATATTCACCTATCCTTGCTGACACGGCTATATAAATATGAAAACTTGGTCTCTGAGATAGTTCATATCCTGATGGCAAGTGTCATGGGCTGAATCACATATCCCAAAATTCATATGTTGAAGCCATAACCTCAGCACACCCCAGAATGTGACCGTATTTGGAAATAAGACCTTTAAAAGCATAACTAAGGTTAAATGAGGTCATAAGGTGGGCCCTAATCAAATATAACTGGTGACTTTATATGAAAAAGAGAGGACCAGAGATGGGCACACACAGAAAAAAGAGCCATGTGAGGATACAGTAAGAGGGTGGCCAACTACAAGACACAGCTCAAGAGAAACCAAACTTGCTGACACCTTGATCTTGGAATTTCAGCCTCCAGAGCTGGAAGAACATAAATGGCTGTTGTTTATTCACCCAGTCTGTGGTATTTTGTTACGGCCACCCGAGCAGCAATTGCCCAAACATCCAGGTAATCACTTGGATTTTTGCCTTTTACTCAGATACTGATAAGAATTTAGAACCTACAATGAGATTGCAGGTTTTAAACTAGACTATTACCAGCTGTATGACCCCTAGCAAGCTATTTAAAATTTCCAAGCCTCAGGACACCTGGGTGGCTCAGTTGGTTAAATGTCTGACGTCAGCTCAGGTCATGATCTTGTGATCTGTGAGTTTGAGCTCCTCATAGGGCTCTGTGCTGACAGCTCAGAGCCTGGAGCCTGCTTTGGATTCTGTATCTCCCTCTCTCTCTCTGCCCCTCCCCTATTTGTGTTCTGTCTCTCTCTCAAAAACATTAAAAAAAATCTTCAAGTCTCATCAGTAAGAGGGGACTGATAAGAATACTACTTCTTAGTGTTATTGTAAAGATTAAATGAGCTAATAAATGCTTAAAAGTGTTTATTAAGCACAGCTCCCAAAAGCATTGAACAAGACTCAATACATGTTACCTATAATCATTACTGAGGTTTTTGTGTTAGTATGACTTAATAAAACCAGAAAGTTCAATTATTCTATGCAGATTCCTATCTTTGTAAGACTTTGAAGACACAAAAGGACAGAAAGTCCCAGCCTTAGACTGTTTGTACCTTCTGTTATGAAACTAGAAGGACATTTATTAAAATAAATTTATAAAATTTTGGAACTCCTCTGAGCAGTGGTGGGCGTTGAGGGGCTGGTAACATTTTCCAAACCTTTTTTAAAGCTGGTCTATGACTTTTGCAGTCATACACCAATAAACAGTTAACAACTATTTGTATGCTTCTATGAACAATGATCAAATAGCCTGGTAACATCATAAATACAGGCTCAGAGTACTCTCCTGAAATCTGCAACACCTTTCCTTCAGAAGAGAGCTCTGCAATAACTCACCTACACATTTGCTGTTTTGTCATCTGCTTGTCACTCTCACAGTGAAAGCAGAAGGGTCAATATAGCTAACCAATGGTCAGAACCTGAAATGCTAGAATTCTGAGAGCAAATAGGAGGCCACAGGAATACAAAATGAGAAACAGAGAAAGGAAGAATCTACTCATAACAAAAGCTTTTCCCAGGCATCCTGGAATTCAGAGCAGGACCTGTTCAGTGCTAGGGGAATTGGGTTTCAAATCAATGCCCTAATTTACATAAAAGAAATAAAGCAGAAAAACAAGAGCACATAAATATAAAGGTAAACCTGTACAGCATTTCACAGACTTAAATAAGAGCACTTTCTGGATGTGTTTTAGAGACAGTGATTTCCTCAGTTTCCTCCAATAGCTTAAGAACCTTGACCTGCAACTCTGTGTATCAGCACCCAGGCCCTGTTTCTGCTATATTGTGAAGCCCTAATTTGGGATCTGGATTTGATTGGAGTTGAAATAACCAACTGTTACTGGCTGTATAGCACTGGGCAATGCTTTTAATCGTGCAGCACCCAGTGTACTCACCCATGAAATGGGCCTACATCTCTCACTGTTACAATAGTTACCTAATATTGACTCATTTGTGTTAAGTATTGAACACAATGACTAAATGAAAAGTGCTTAATAAACATTAGGGATTATTATTGTCCAGAAATCTTCATACCCAAATCCCTATCTTTGATCTTATGACTTCATTTGTATACATCTTCTATGCACAGAACCCTTTTCCTGAACATGTCTTTGACTCTCTCTACCCCTTGGACTTCAATATATGGTCTGATATTATAAGGAAAATTCATATTGACATATGGTCATTGTGACTATCTGAAGTGCTTAAGGAATAAAGTATTTTAGTTAATTATGTAGTTAATCTAGAGGGAATATATGTACTAACCATATCTGAATGACTAGAATTTAGTAAAACAAGGGGTACCTGGGTGGCTCAATTTACTCATCCAACTTCAGATTAAGCATCCAACTTCAGCTCAGGTCATGATCTCCCAGTTCATGAGTTTGAGCCTCATATCAGGCTCTGTGCTGATAGTTCGGAGCCTGGAGCCTGCTTCAGATTCTTTGTCTCCCTTTCTCTCTGCCTCTTCCCTGCTCACTCGCTCGTTCTCTCTCTCTCTCTTTCCCTCCCTCCCTCCCTCTCTCAAAAACGAATAAAACATTAAAAAATTTTTAAAAGAGAATTTAGTAAAACAATGAACCCACTAATTCCTGAATCCTGATTTGAGGATTTAGAAGATACTCCAGTATTTTAAAGTATTTGGGAGAGCATAACAGAAAAAAAAAAACATTAAATAATATGAAAATATAATGGAGCTTTCTGAGATTTAAGATCACTTGCAACTAAGGTTATTTGGGTTTTTTTTTTAATATTTTTATTTATTTCTAGGAGAGAGAGAGAGAGAGAGAGCGTGAGCAGGGGAGGGTTAGAGAGAGGGAGACACAGACTCTGAAACAGGCTCCAGGCTCTGAGCTGGCAGTCAGCACAGAGCCCGACACGGGGCTCGAACCCACGAACCGCGAGATCATGACCTAAGCAAAAGTCGGACACTTAACTGACTAAGCCACCCAGGCGCCCCAGGTCATTTGGGTTTTTAAAAAATTATCCTCTTATCATGCTTCGTTATGTCTGTTTTCCTGAATAAAGTTCTTTTCCCCCATTGGTACACCTAATATAGAGGTAAAACATCTTCCATCAGCTTTTTTGTCTTGCTGACATATTTTCTAATTCTCCTACTAATGAATGTAGTATGGTACAATCTACCTTGTCAGAATCTACAGGGACTGACAGCAGCTATTTCTGAAGATCATCATTAATTTTCAAGAAACTCACGACAAACATGTAGAGAGAGTGGCATTTTGCAAATAATGTACTGTCCTCTTTAATATAGAAATGACCTCTCTATATTCCCATGGGTCCCAGTTCTTCAAATAGGCTTCTCTTTCTTCTTGAGAGCTGAGCATTTTGTCAAATTTGTCAAGAAAGCAATTTCATCTATGTTTGAACTAACCCCAAATGTTTATCAGCCAGCTTGTTTTTATTTTTAAATATGTGGATGATCCTTATGATTCCCTTGTTCCTTAGAGCAGGACTGATGCTTCACAATCCTGTGCATTTGCACGGAATTACTTTTATATAACACCTATAGTTCTAAACACTCCATTAAGAGATTCACTAAGGTCTAATAATTTAAAAACCCATAATTGGTTATTTCTGATTATAAAATTTCATAATATGCCTCAATTTTTCAAATAGCTTGACAGGTGCCATTAGATTCAATATATAAAACCTTTCATACAATTAAAATGGATTCTGGGATTATGGTGTTGGCCTCAGTGCCTGCCATTAACTGTCTGAATTTTTGCCTCGTACCAATAATGCACAAACTACCTTAAGATGACTTAATGGATTTCAATGATTTTTGAACCCTGACTTCATTTTGGTTTTATTACACAAAAATCCTTCCCTCTTGCCACACTACCTTTAATTTTTTTTTCCTAAATCACTTTTGTGACTATTCTCATCAACCTTAAAATTCTTGGAAGTTACTCTCTATGGTTAACAGTGTCAGAGGCAAGTGTACTTCACCAAACCAGTAAAGTGTAAAATAGCCAGTAGGAGCAGTTCACAAAAGAACAAAAGGAGCAGCTTCACAGACCCGTGGGAAGCCTGGAGACAATATTCAGGAATATTTATACAAGGCAGTCACTTTTGCTCCCACAGTCAGGTGAGTAGAGGTTTTGTCATGATCTGGAGAGAATACCCTGATACTCGGTCTAATGCCCCTGAAAATTCTCCTTCAGATCCTTCAGAATCTCAAGCATTTGTGGTAATGTTTTAATAAAGGAAAAACTTCATCAATCTAGCAATGTCTCTACACCAATGAGTCACTCTGAATTGCACAAAATAATTTAAGAAAGCCTTGCTGGTATCTCAGTAACAGAAATAAAAGATTTTTTGTTTGGGGGCTGGTGGGGAAGGGGTTCCAATCTCTATAGGCAGACTAATTTCATCAGAAAAGTTGAGGGACTGAAAATATTCTGGGAAAAAAATCAACAAAAAGACAGCCTCTGATTGAGAATCTGAGGCTGTCTTTTTGTGACAGGTTGTGAGGTGTGGGGGAGGGGAGTAGTAGCAAAGAGGGGTTGCCTAGGATACAGAATACACAATGCAAAGAAAAGTAAGACTGCCTTCTGTAAAGCAATTGAGAAAGAAAACAGAGACTCAATATTTTCGCATAACAACCCTTAAAATGCTAAGCAATACTGGCATTAAAACTGTCAGTACAATTCAAGATTGTCTTGGAGACAGCAGACATTGAGGTACTCAAACTTTCTTCTCCAAATAAGACCATCAGGAGCATTGTCTGGAACGGGGTGGGTAAAGGTCACAAGACAGAACAGAAATAATACTAAAGGAGGAAAGGAGACAAGATCAATGCTCTGATAAAGCAGGAGAGCAATATGAATGGCATGCAAGTGACTGGACCCCTGATGCATCCCTGGTAAACTTCAGATGCACAAAAACTACTGAGATTAGGAAGGGTCCCTCCCCACACGTTTCTGGCTTCTTAGTGTATTGACTGGTTAGAAGTAATACAGCCTTTTTAGATTATAAACTGGTTTTTCTCTCTCATGAGTTCTGAGGGTATGGTAAGGACATTACTTTTAGAATCATGGTAAAATGGCACCTCAATTCACCATGACAATCTCAACAGTTTAGAATGTTGAACTTCCCTTGCTCTCCCTGGGACTGTTTCCCTGATCCCTCAGATCTCATCTCTATTATCTGACTTATTCTTAATCTTTCCTCTTACACAGAAGCACATACTAACACCAGTTATGTAATCCCATAACTGTGTGTGTGTGTGTGTGTGTGTGTGTGTGTGTGTGTGTGTGTGTTGACTGGGTGTGTTTTGTGCTTCATATGAGACGGCCATGAGGTCCAAAAGGCCTTGTTCATACAACAGGAAATTGGTGATTGGTGCTGACCACCATCTGAGAGTGCAGTTGGAGCTGAAAGGCAGAGCCCAGGTTCTCCTCCATGTGAACCTATCTATATGGCTACTCAGGCTTCCTCAGAGCATGGCCACTGGGTTCCAAACAAGAGGAAATAAGAAGCGCCCAGTCCACGTAAGGCTTGGACACAGAAGACCTAGAATGCCACTTAAGCCACATTTTATCAGAGCAGTCAGATGGCCAGCACAGAATTACAGGGAGAAGAATTATACTCTACCTTTGGGTGGAGGAGTGGCATATATGTGTGGAAATGGAAAGAACTGATGTCAGCCATCTTTAGAGACCATCACACAGTCTTAATTTCATTCCATTTCTGAACAGGTTAAGCAAAACACGCTTAGAGAGTCTCTCTAGATTATAATAGTTCTGTAAATTCCAAATCAACACAACAAACCTACTCTTACTTTAATGTGTTTTATCTAAGATTTTTTTCATTTAGTCCTTAAAGCTAAAAAGTACTGTACATTTTCATTGGCTTAATTGTATTATTTTGAAGTAAAGCATTTAAAACACTACTAAGGAGTGATGTTCATAGCAGCACTCTCCACAATAGCTAAAACATGGAAAGAGCCTAAGTGTCCATCAACAGATGAATGGATCAAGAAGATGTGGTTTATCTATACCATGGAATACTACATGGCAATGAGAAACAATGAAATCTGGCCATGCTTAGCAACATGGATGGACCTTGAGGGTGTTATGCTGAGCGAAATAAGTCAGGCAGAGAAGGACAAATATCATATGTTTGCACGTATAGGAGGATTAGGAGGAACCTGACGGAGGAACAAGGGGGAGAAGAAGGGCGGAAATGGTGGGGGAAAGGGAGAGAGGCAAACCATGAGAGGCTCTTGAATGCTGACAAAAACTGAGGACTGATGGATGTGGGGGGGAGGGGGTGATGGGCATGGATGAGGACACTTGTGGGGATGAGCACTGAGTGTTATGTGGAAACTAATTTGACAATAAACTATTTGTAAAAAAAATAAATAAATAAAATAGGATAATTTTTACACACACACACACAAAAAACAAAACACTACTAAGGAAAAAGTTAGTTACTGTTCTTTTCTACTGTTATGATATCCACCAATTATTTGTTGAGTGGAAATAATTTTCAAGGAATTATGCTGAGAATAAATGAGACTTTAAAGGCAACAAACAAAGTCAGTCTGAAAAGCTGACTTTAAAAGAGAAACACAGAATGATAGCAACTGAATAATTACGAAGAATAACAGCTAAATATTTAACATTTTAGTCATGCTTTGAGAAAGACAAAGTCTCTTTGAACATAATGCAGTTAAAAAGAAAAAAGAAAGATGAGAAAGAAGAAAAAAAAAACAATAAAAGGCTAGCAAGAAAAAAAGTGAGACCAAAATTGGTAAAATATAGCATTTCAGAGAGAATCTTAGTGTCAAAATATAACTGAAAAATGCTTATTTATTAGAAGATCACTGTTTTACTCAAAATGGAATGTGGATATAACCATATGTCAACCCTCAGTTCTGTTAAATATGCGCAGAAATCCACTTAAGAAATTGAAAAGATTCTGAACTATTTGTCTTATTTATTAGTATTATAGTCTGACACTGCACATCTCCAACTGGAAGAAAACTAAAAATCCACGTACCAAGGTGCCAGACAGAGAAACATACGGCACTTTCCACTAACCAAAACCTGGCTATTTGTAGGTGGTAGAAATCTATTTAGGGACCTCCGTAGAGCTCGATGAGAAAAACATCATATGTTTACTTTTAGGAGTTTCAGTAAGAAGAAATTTTAGATTTATTTACAGTAAAGAGGGAAAGGTATTACCTGTGTTCATGAAATGTAGGCATCTTATGGAGACTGGAGGGAATTCTTTTAATACATTTCTTTAGAAAAGGTTGGCAGCTCAGAGAAAAAACTTTGTGGTGTTTTTAAATATTTAATGTCCCATTGCTGCTTTGCAGCCTGAGAAAAACTTGTGGTTCTTTATTGGCAAATATTTCAGAGCGTATCTCCAATTGTATGAAATTTTAAAAAGTGTTTAATATTTCTAAACTGTAAAGCTAGATGAAAAAAGCAACAGCTTAGGGCAACACGGTAATTCTTGCAATTAAAAAACTGAACATTAAACCATAGCTTTTTCACAGCTAGATAAAAATGTTCTTGTTGTTGGGGTTAAAACCCCATTCATTATCTTTTCATTAATATTTGTTAGTTGTCTATTGTACGTGAATTATTTGATTAAAGAATTTGAATGAGTCAAATAATCATAGAGCCTCTATTCTTAACAGTGAATAATTTAGTAGATGGACACATTGATCAGACAAAAAGTTGTGATGAGCCTTACAGTCTTGGGCAGATTCAGTATTATGTGAGGATGGAGACAAAGCTAATTATAATAGGATAATCATGGAAATATTTATTTTAGAAACTGCTGGAAAGTCTCTCTTAAAAGACTTACTCCAGATCTTGAACTACATATATTATTAACTTCATAAAGTTAGGTCACTAATAAAATAGCGTGTATTGCCTGAAAGACAAAGCATATTATTAATATTTGATCTTTTACATATGTACATACATACTAAATTCTGTAACCCCTGTCTACTGTCAGAATTATCAAGGCAGGTAGTGATAAAAGGCACAATATATGGAAATTTCTAAGCTATAATGCATTTTTTTAAAGCTGAATATTCAGTTCTGAAATTGAATAGTGGCAGTGGTAGTAGGAAGAGTGTTATACCAGGGTACCTGGGCTTTAATCCTTCTACCATTCAACAGCTACGCCTTTGGCAACTTAATTAAACTCAGTGTGGTTCAAATTCCTCATCTTTATAATAAGGATATACCATATTTTATCTAAGATGTCTTTCATTGTAAGACACACCTCAATTTGATACACTACTACCAAAGAAAAACACCCAAAGCAGAGAGCTGAAATGAAGATCCAGGGTAACGTGGACATATCAAAAGGTTAGGACCTCAATGTGAGGAAAATAAGAAAGAGACGTGACACACAGAGAAAAGTTCCAGAAAACTTGCATGCCTCCACTTTGACATAGAGTGCAAACAGAAGGGATGTGTTCCCTGCAATATAAACAAGGAGTTCGTGTCCATACAGGCTGAATTCACACTAGCCGTATGGTCTGAAAACCGCAAAAAAGAATTTAACTGAAAGTGGCCTTAGGTCAGTCATGCTCCAGGTGATGGGCAGAAGCAAACACAAATTATCTCTGGAAGAATTTGAGGGAAACCCAGGCTGAAGCCAGCAATGATTATAAGACCAATTTCAGAGATATTACAAGGCAGAGGAAAAAAAAGGCATGTGGCAGTTTGATTGTAAATATGGCATGAATTCTTCCCTTCCTTCAAACCACATCTTCTGCAGCTGCTCCCATCAAGAAGTCTGTTTCTCCCACACCTGAATCTCTGCTTGCCCTATGACCTGTTTGGGCCAATACAATATGACAGACATATGATGTGCCTATTTGCAAACTGATGCTCAAGAAGCCTTGCACACTTCCACTTGACCCTGGAACTCTGCTATTACTAGGAAAATTACCCCCCTCAACTTGCTAGGAAGCTGAGAGATCATGTGGAATAATGCCAATTTATTCTACCCAAGATCTTGCTAAATTACTCAGCATCCAACCTACCCACTAGTTAAACACAGATGCATGAACAAGCTTTTGTAAAACTATCTACAGGTGAAAAAATTCTACAGGTTCATGAGCAAGAGTCTTTATTATTTTAGACCATTACATTTGGGGGAGTTGTATTATGCAGCAACAGCTAACTGAATAAGACACATCTTAAAAATCAATGAAATACAGCATTAGTAGCAGCCTTAGGGGGCTAGGTAAGAAATTAAATGATTCACTACATGCCAGACACTTAGGATAATGCTTCCTACATGGTTAAGTCTAAAGAAATGTTATCTACATTATTGAAGTGTTTACCAGATTCAGAGACTCTTTTGTCTCTCCAACTTTATATATAAAATAGGAATTCTGATTTGTATAATATGAAGAACAAATAGAAAGAAGTAGAAACATCCTTAAGTATAAGATACTAAACAAAATGTGATTAGCAACTACAATTACACATAAATGAAGAGCTAAAATACAATGTTTATATACTCAAAGAGGTATAAACATGTGTTAAGCCCAAAAGAAAAATGATAAATTTTGTCTGGGGGACTCAGGGATGGACTCCTTATAGAGGAGGGAGGTATTTAAATCAAATACAAAAGAGTAGGAAGGATTTGGTAAGGTAAAGGGTTATTACAAAGCAGAGAGTAGTAGGCATTCTAGGTTAAAAACAAAAACAAAAACAAAAAAACGCATGTGCAAAGATCCAAAGACATGAAAGTATCTGTTATATGGCGGTCCTGCCTAAATGTCTGACTAGGAGTATACAGTATAAGAAGAAAAATGGTCAGATAATGAGGCCAAGAAGATAGCTTTAAAAGCTAGTCATTATCTGGGTAAGCAAAAATGACTTTCTTCTTTAAGCATAGATATCACCAGAGATTTCTAAGACGACCAGTAATATGATAAAATCTATTTAGAAATTGTAATTCTTGTAGCCATATAGAGGAAAGATTGGAGGGAGGGAAGTAAACACAATCATCAAGGTAAAAAATGATCAGGGCCTGATCTAAGGTCTGTTGAACTTAAAGAACTGAGCCACATTTAAAGACAACCCCCCTCCCCCCCACACACACACAAAACCAAACTCCTTGCTGATGCAGGGCTTGAACTCATGACCCTGAAGTCAAGAGTAAGAGGTTTAAGTAACTGAGCTACCCACACACCCCAACACCATTAAAATTCTTAAGTGGCCTAATCTGTAGCAAGTCCTGAGCTAACTGCTTGCACACACATGACTCATGTAATTCTTCTGAGTGCTTTAGGTATGCATATGAAGCCCAAACAGCACACTGTCCATGATAACACAGCCAGAGATGAAACTATATAATAATTACTGAGGAAGAACATGCAGACGATCTTCAAAATATGTGAAGAGATGCCACCAATTCAATGGGCAGGAGTCACAGTAAGTTGTTGCAGAATTTGGAACCAGGAATAATCAGTAGAAATTAAGAGGTGGTGCAGCTTTTGACTTAGTAAAGGAAAATATTTTCTATTATCTAGAGCTATCCAACTAGGAAATGAGTTTACTTGTATTGTTCCAATCCCTAACTCTGGAAATATTCAACCATTATTCATTCAAAAATATTAATCGAGCTGGGGCGCCTGGGTGGCTTAGTCGGTTAAGCGTCCGACTTTCGCTTGGGTCATGATCTCTCAGTTCGTGGGTTCGAGCCCCACGTCGAGCTCTGTGTTGACTGCCAGCTCAGAGCCTGGAGCCTGTTTCAGTCTGTGACTCCCTCTCTCTCTGACCCTCCCCTGCTCACGCTGTCTCTCTCTCTCTCTCCTAGAAATAAATAAAACATTTAAAAAAATATTAATCGAGCAATTAAAATTTGCCGAACTGCACGCTAGACATTCTGGAACAACTGTGAACAAATCTCTCAGGAGTGACTACAGAAAGGGATTCTGTATTGTTTTATTTATGTAATTCTTACTATATTCTAGGCACTGTTTGAAATTCTTAACAAATATTAATTTACTTAATATTCAAAGCAATGTTACACATGGGGAAACTGAGGCAAAAAGAGGTAACACAAATAGTGTCAGCACTGTGATTCAGATCCAGATGGTCTGGCTCTGGGTCTATGCTCTTAGCCACCATGACTGCTGCCTTCACCCCTGACTCACTGGGTGGTGCTGGGCTACTAGGCTGATAAGGTCCTTCCACTGCCTGCCATTCCCAGACGACTCCCAAAGCACCTATAAACTTGTGTAAGACACTGAAGCCAGTTTTTGTGTGTGTGATAAATTCAACATGTTCCCAGTGACTAGACCTGATAAGGTTTTGATGCTTTTTTCCTTTTAAATATGGGAACTCACATCCACAAAAGCCACGTTCATACCACTATTCAGAATGTTTTTCTGTTTTACTCACACCTTAGCTATAAGGAAATCTGAATATCTACGGGAGAGAAAGTTTGGAAATGGATTTGTTAAACAGAATTTTAAAGAATCTATAAACTTAAAAATAACTTCTCCTGAGTATGAGTTGGGGAGCACGACCAAAACAGAAAGTGGATTTTTAGATTTCAGAATTCTGTACTATTTATTTTTTCATGAGCATGCTTTATTTTCTTAATCAAAAACTTACAGGAGACTTGTTTGAATCCAAATTTATCATAAAATAACAAGAATGTCTCTCATCTTCTGCTTATCTAGAAATGAAAGGAAGAATTTGGAATTGTGGACAAAATTCATAAGATAGTCATGTTGGAGCTAGTAGCATGAAAACCACCTATCATCCACCACTTTATTTTACAGGTGAGGAACTTGAGGCCAAGGAAGGGATGAAGTCAAAAAACAAACTGATTATACTGAAATGTACATAAAGGTCATTAAGCCTAGAAAGCACTATGGGACAGTAGTAGTGCCTGTAACACACTGTGGTTCTAAAGATTAAAAGAGAAAAGTCATGTAGAGCACATAGCCTGGAATATAGTTACCACAAATGTTATTAATATTTATTATTACTGTCACTATTACTATCGTTACCAGATCACTTTACATGAGCTGCAGCTAGCCTCCCACAGCAAAGTAATTTTCTTTTTTACAGTATCCTGCTGACTGCCTGTGATGGACTCGAGGAGTTGAGGGCAATGATGGACTTTGAAATGAGATCTGAGCACAAATACCAGCACTGTCAATTATGAAACTGAGAGATTTTGAGCAAATTATTTAAATTTCTAACATTCACTTTCCTCCTTGGAGAATACAGTGATACCTACATGGTGTGTGGTGAGGTATGAGAGTGAAGGCAGAGAAGCATTAGTCTACTTTTTGCAGTTATTAAAACCTTCTATAAATTACAGCAATCATAATTATAGGTCGTGAAGGCTTTGCGGTGCACACAAACTGTATGGTGTGAACCAGAAGCCTGAGGTCAGCAAGATTATTGTATCTGGGTAACAGATTTGCTTAATTTTCTTTCCCTACATGTGCTTTCCTATTTCTCTATTTGCCTATAGCCACGTGTTTAAGTATAGATGCAGGAAAAAAGAAACAAAAGAGATAAATAAAAAGTTCAATACTCTTCCCTTAGGAAAGATGGAGGTGTAGATCCATCCAGGGTTTAGATCCATCCAGGGTTCCAGCCTGTTCATTCGTCAATTCTAATCCATGTGCTGCACTTCAGAGGAGGAAAGGGAAAATGACCAGGTGTCTCATATCCACGATTTTGTGTAAGTCAAAAGGGTAAATATATTGGATTTTGATTTTAAGGAGAGTTCCTGAGTCAGTCCAAGATAGTTCTTCAGAAAGGAATCATCCAGAAGACAGGGATGCAGTAGAAGCCCAACCATGGAGCCAAAAGGGGGCTGTGAGTGCATGTTGAGGGGCTAGAGAAAGAACCTGTGAAGGCCTAGGGAGACGATGGCTGGGGATGGGTAGGCTTTGATACTTTCTTGATATGAATGATCATGGATGCCACTATCCATTTAAAGAGATAGGATTAAGTGGATAGAAAAAGATAAAATCCATGGCATAGGAAAGCAAGTGATTAAGAGAAAAATTTCAGTTCAACACTACATTTGATTTAGAGGAGGGGTTTCTAAACTGTGGTCTCCAGACCCACAGTATCAGCTTACCTGGGAACTTGATAGAAATACAAATTCTCTGCCCCATTCCAGGCTACTAGATCAGAAACTCCAGGAGTAAAAGGGCTGGGTTGATGCAACAATTTGTATTTGAATAAACCCTCCTGGTTATTCTGCTGTTGTATGTACAATTTAGAGGAACATTATCTTCCTTCGTTATTTTTATTCCAATTTACAATGTCTTCTTCTTAAGTCCCCATCTAAACCAAAAGATAAGGAAAGTGTGAGGGGTATAAAGATTAGGAGACTAGAGCAGGCCTATTTAAGTCATTTGCAAATACCAGATTTGCAAATTATTATTTATAGTAAAAGTGAAGGTTAACAATTTTTAATCACAGTCAAACATTTCCATGCCATGCATGACTTTCACAAAAGAATAGACATATTAGTCCAAAGGCATAAAGAAGATTAGAACAATACAGAACAGTATTTGTTAAGTGGAGAGGAAATGTCACTTGATGGGTTGCACAATGAACTGGGAATGAGATGTCCTAGATAGAACCTTCCCTCTCACCATAGCTCCTGCCAGATCATTTCCGCCCACATCACTGAAGGACAGTACTTGCTAAAGCCCAGTTGATCCTATGCAAACAGGACAATGCTGCATAAGGCTGTTGAAGTTTTGTCACAGGCCTGATTACAGCAAAAGACTAGCATTATCTGAGAAATTCTGTAGTGGAAATAAATCAAAAATAAGCAAATAGAAGACGAGGGATTTATTTTGGAAGGAAAGACATACATTACCGGAAGGTGCTGGAATGAATGTCCTGCATCTCTTGCCTCCTCCATTTCCTACCTGAAAAATCTTGCACTGTATCTTTTAGTGGTGCAAGGCTTGTCTTTATTTGCCTTAACCAGTAATGTGCTCTTTCAGATGTTCCAATGCTAAGAGAATCTACCTTAAACTTATCCATCGAAAATAGGCCCTTTTGACTTATTTTATATGCATCAATGAGCCTCCAAGTTCATATAGTTACTATCACCCTTGGTAAAGTACTAATGAAAATGTCAGCACAGGTACCAAAAATTTCAAACCAGGCTACATTTACTATGTATTCCACAAAGCCCCATGGGATCATCAGATTCAAGGAGATCTGAAAATACAGAGTAATACTGTTACATTCTGATATTATAAGATATACTTCCTCTAATTCACTTTTGTGGTACTTTTAAAAATTAGTCTATAAAATTTTCATGGCAGTTTCAAAGCATTAAAGTGTAGGTAATGTAATAAAATGGCTTCAAATAAAAAAAAGTTACTGAGACTATGCTGGTGGCACAACTAAAATTTAGAGCAAAGAACAAAGAATCAAAGAAAAACATTTGGGAAAATACTTTTAAAAGTTGCTTTAGCCATCTCATAAAGTGGATGTATAATGGCAGTGAGCAGATGTTATTTTATGCATCGGGCTGTCCTGCGATGCAAGTCCTGGTGCGTGCGGGCTAGGAGAGGGTACATATAGGATTTTTCTCACGGTGAGAGTAGCAATCTCTGCTTATTGACCCTCTCTGTTTATAAGTGGCTTGTTAGCTTCCTAGTCAAGATGGGGCTTACGTGGTACATGAGTTCCCACTACCTCTAGGGTAAGCTGGAACCAAGAGCAGACAGGTAGAAAGCTTGTAACTAAGGGAGTTAAGTAGTCAGTGCTGGGGCTGGAGCAGATCTGGTGTTGAGTGGAAGAGGAATAAAAAGGCCATGAGGGAGGAGTGTGGGGAAGTAAAAGAGAACAGAATGAAGCCATCTGGCTTCCAACAGGGCTAGAAGAGAAAGGGTTCATTGCTTCGCTTGTAAAACTCTCTCTCGACCCCCTACCTGAATGGTAACCACAGGAACCACAGCATCAAATGAAATGGTTTATTTGATAGGAAGTAGAATCAGCAAAGCCCAGAGCCACTGAGGTCTGTGTGGCTCCCAGATCCTGTCCGAAGCCCATGTTTGTGGCACTTGTGTTGACTCTGGGGCAGCTAGTACCCATTTTGAAAGAGAAAGGTGGGGAGGCCGGGGAAAGGTCAGGGTATATTAGAATCAAAACTTCTTCCAGACTTTCGTTTTTCTCAAACACAGTTTCCTTTGATGATAGGACGATACTCTAATATAGATTTTTTCAGATAAAAACCTTTGCTTTCTCAGATGATTCTCACCACCTTTGTTTTAAAGATTCACTCCGTTTTTTTAAAAATTTTTAAATGTTTTTATCTATTTTTGAGAGCAAGAGCAAGCATGAGCAGGGGAGGAGCAGAGAGAGAGACACAGAATCTGAAGCAGGCTCCAGGCTCTGAGATGTTACCACAGAGCCCAATGCGGAGCTTGAACCCACGAACCGTGAGATCATGACCTGAGCCGAAGTTGGACCCTTAACCCACTGAGCCACCCAAGTGTCCCATCACTCCAACCTTTTAAAGCAAGGACAGAATGCCAATCTGTCATCTCTTGTAAATTTACTTTGCTAAGTGAATTAACATCTTTAGCTCAGTTGTCTGGCTTTAAAAATAGAAACAATAGGGGCGTCTGGGTAGCTCAGTCGGTTGAGCGTCTGACTTCAGCTCAGGTCATGATCTCACAGTTCGTGGGTTTGAGCCCAGCATCTGGCTCTGTGCTGACAGCTGGTCCAGAGCCTGGAGCCTGCTTCAGATTCTGTGTCTCCCTCTCTCTCTGCCCCTCCCCTGCTCATGCTGTCTCTCTCTCTCAAAAATAAAATATTAAAAAAAAAATAGAAACAATAATATTATGCTCACAGTCCCACAATTCTCTTTTAGCAAGAAATCTACATAATCAACTCTCTCTTAGACATCACCACTTAGCTGCTTTAGACAGCTCAAACCATCTTTCCTAGCAGAGCATCTTTTCCTCCAAACCTGCTTTCCTCTCTCAATAGCTGGGGCCACCACCATCCACTGGGCCTTCAAGCCAGAAGATAAAGTCTTTCTGGTTCTTTTCTTGTCATTCAGGTTAGACCTTCTGCTTGATTGAGGTTTCTCAAAACTACCTCCCTCCTATTCCTACTGAGGCTACCTTCACTCAGTCTCATCACCTGCCTGGGTTAATGCAACCACAACTACTTCCTCATCAGCTGCCTTCCCTCCAGTCTGTATTCCCCATTCCCTCTGCCCAGAGGGACAATTTTATTCTCCTAATCTCAGGCAAGAGGAGGACTAGAAAGACATGGAGAGAAGCAGGTAGAGGTGATTAGATATTAGAGGCTGGGAATGAAAATTATTAAAATTGGTGTGGGATTTTTTTTCCCTTCCAATTTAAATTCATTCTTCTATTCCCACGAATACCTCCAAATGAATGTCATTAGAAGTCAGTAAGAAACAAAACAAATGATGGGGCACCTGGGTGGTTCAGTCAGTTAAGAGTCCAACTTTGGCTCAGGTCATGATGTCACGGTTTTTAGGTTCGAGGCCCGCATCGGGCTCTGTGCTGACAGCTAGTTCAGAGCCTGGAGCTTGTTTCAGATTCTGCATCTCCCTCTCTCTCTGACCCTCCCCTGCTCACACTGTCTCTCTCTCAGAAATAAATTTTAAAAAATGTTTAAAAATTAAAATAAAACAAAACAAATCAAAACTTCCTTCCTTCTTTCCAAAATATACAACACTCTGTTCAGAATCATCAAAAACAGAGGAGTCATTTTTTTTTTTTTGCCATATTTTTAAAACCCAGTTGCACATAACATTTTTCTCCCACAGGTGTATGCTGGAACCTAGAAAAATTTAAAAACAACAAAAGCACTTTCTATGTTGCAGAGGTGGTGAAATGCAGGTTTGCTCTCTTCATTTTGAACCCAGCTGGCAGACACAGTAATCTCATAAACAAGTAGGTGACAATTCTGTTAGGCATGTACTTGTCTCAGTAAACTAAGTCATGAGCTCATTAAAACTACCCGCCTCTGAACGGAAGGCTCAGCTCTTATACCTAAAGCACTAGAAATCTTCTGAGAATCTGTGCCCTAGAATAAGGGCCAAGGACAAACAGAAGCCTAATTTGGCCTAATTCTCCAAAACGAAAATGA